AGGTTAGGGAGCAGGGGATGATGAAACTTCAATTTTACATCTTATACCGCCAGTGGTGTCTGGTGGACAGGTGGATTTGGGGTCTGATGCTTAGGAGAACAACCTGGTTAATTTTATAGATTGGAAATCATATGCACAAAGGACATAAGTAAAGTTATGAATGTGGTTATTATCTCAAAGTAGGTAAGTATAAAGGCAGAAAAGCTCCATGAGAGAGCCCCAAGACTCCAACCCTTAAAAGCTAGTTAAGCAGAAGAGGAGCCGACAAAGACCACTGGGGGGAAAAACAGCTGATGAAACACTACCCAACCAGTGAACGAACCAACCAACAAATCTTGGGACAAAATAATGTGATAGAAGCAAAGAGAGAGTTTTGAAGAGGAGAAAATTTTCACGGGGTGAAACAGCCCTGAAAACTAGGCAGTGTGAGGGACAGAAAAGGCTATTGGCCTGATTGGTGAGAAGATCATAGTTGAGTCTGGTGAATGTCCTCGGTGGGACAGAGTGCAGAAGTAGATCGGAATGTGTTGGGCACAAAGTAGAAGGCAGGAAGGTGCAGGTGCTGACTGCAGCTAAGTCTTTCCAGAAGCTTTGCTGTGGAAGGTAGAAGAGCTTATAGCTGAAGTAAGCTGTGGAACTGAGGGGCATTTGTTTCGGGGTTTCTTTGCTTGTTTTTAAAATCAGAAAGAAGGTGGGGGAGAGAGGGAGAGAAAGAGTAAAGAAAAGAAGAGAAGAGATAAATTCATGTTCTAGTAGAGAGATGGGATAATCAAATCCTAAGAAGGAAGGAGAGAAGCTTCTGTGTTGAATAAATGTCTGACAGGAGGTAAAACTCTTCCTTTGAAACAGAAGAGAAGAAGAGAAGGATTGATATGTAAGTTATATATCTGACCACAGAATATCTGACCTGATTACCTTTAATTCCTTTGTGGAGTAGGAGTTAAAATCATTTGCTTTGAGACAGGAGGATATAGGGTTAAAGAGAGAAGAAAAGGTGGGAAAAGCCATTATGGAAAATCAGAGTGAACTAAAGGCAAAACACTTAATAAGATGCGGGGCAGTGCTGGACTACTACTTGAAATCGGCAGCTCTGCGTTGATAGTGGTGGCCGTCTTCTCATGTGTGATGTTGTCAGAGAGTGTTGGGCCCGTCAGGAGAAGTGGTATTTTAGGGTAGAGCCTGATTTCCATGTGGGCAAAGAGGTTGAGGAAATTTGCTTAAGAAAAGCTTTACAGAGCCACTGGGAGAGCCCAAGTTTTGCACTGTTCAACAGAGATGGTTGTGGTTATTATATACATCCTCTACTGCATAGCGCAGTAGTCATTTCAACCTTTAGCATCTGATGACACCTGCCAACCCCACTCCTGGGAGCAGTTCCATCTTATACTTGTGTTTCTTCTGGACCCTTCCTCATACACTGTCAGATACAGAAGAAGACTTATGAGTTATGACCTGTGAACTCATGTGTCTCTATGACAAAGAGGCTGTGGAACCAGAACTGGAGCACCTTGGAATAACTGAGACAGTGTGGAAGTCCAGTGATCTCATCACAGTAAACAGCTTAAGTAAATTCAGAGTCATCATGATTACAAAGCACAAGAGAGGCTGATGATTAAGCAATAGTTCTCATCTGCAATCCACAGAAACTTAGTAAGGAATTGGGCAACATCAGACACAAATCTCTACTCTTACTGGGCTGCATATATGTTTTTCTTTCTTACAATGTGGTAATGCATTATTAACTCCATTTTAATGGAGCCTCAAGTTCTTACTCAGAGTAGCAAGCATCTTATTAACATAATAAGCAAGGCATTCCCCTTCCTATCATGTCAGCAGTACCAGAAATATGCTTCCTACCCACTTCCCTGGATATCACATATATTGTTTCCTATCTGGAAATAGAAAAGTAGAGAGACTAATCTGAAATTATTTTGTATACTTTCACCAGGTAAGTACAGGGGGAAACCCTATTTATTTCAAAGACATGCTTATGCTTAGATTTTCCTCCATTCCTGTGACCTTCCCTTTATATGGTAACATGTTTTTATTCAGTCACTAAGCTAATATTTGTTATTCCTACACAGTATATATTTCTTCTCTCTCACATTTTGTAGTTTTGTTGTGAATGTACATAGTATTTAATGGTTCTTTTGCAAAGAATGGAATTTCTTGGGGATCTGGTGCTAAATGTCATGTTTCCATCTTTAAAAATCCCGGGTAAGTAGGAAGGTATCCAAAATAAAGTATTTCTGGATCACAACAAAGACATTGAAATAGGAAACAGACTTACTGAAGCTCATTACTTTCTTTGTTGCCCTCCTTTCATGTGATTTCTTAGACACAGGTCTAGAAGTGGTTTTGAACTTAAAGTAAAAAAAAAAAAGACAGTTGAATTAGGACTCTTACTACTCAAGTCTTTCTGTGAGGAACAAGTCTAAACTTATACATTTTTTAATTTCAATATTTATAGAGAAACTGTAAAATCACTCTCAATGTTTTTAGTTGGAAGGTGTTACTATGCTAAAAATATTTTCATACTTGTTTAACTTTAAATACTTTAGAGATTATTTCATTTAAGGAGCAATTGACCAAATGGTAAATTTAATGAGTTTTCCACTGAAAATGCACAATCACAATGGGTCACAATAGAACGATATACAGGCTAACAATGACCTAACTTTTTACTAACACGTGGGTCCTCAAATCAGAGTGTTATAGTTTAATGGGCCCAATGAGTCCCTAGATGCTTTACTATTTCCTAAAAACCATTAAATTTAGGTGGAGAACTAAAAAGCAACGATAATGAGTGCTAGTGAGGTACTTTTTTCCAGTAGTACCTAATCAGCAAAGTAATTTTCATTGTATCCCCCTCTTATTCAAGGATATAATTATCACATTTTGCAAAGCCTTCAGCCTAGCCTTCAAAGTCTTCTTCCCAGTTCGCCTCCCCTAGTTGGCTTCTTTTCTTCTGCTCTCTTTCCTGGGCCCCTCACAACTGTGCAAACAGTGTGTGCTTCCCCCACACAGGCCCTTGTCTTCCTTGCCTCCACATCTCATAATACACCATTTTGATCCTTTCTTTTATGCCAATCCATGTTCCCATTCACAATTTGACATACTTTTTTCTAATAAAAGCTAACTTTCATAATTAATTGGATCTGGTTCTTCAAACCTCTACTTATCTCTGCTTGCTCTTCATGAAAAATTGGAAGTAGTGAGCAATGTTGCTATATATATATTTCTTTTTTACTTTTAAGACTTTGGCCAATGTATTTAGGCTCATTCTGTCTATTTTGAGAATAATGCTTATGCTACTTTCTTAGTCTATTTGTCATTATGATTAAATAAGATAATACATGTAAAGTATTTAGAATAGGGCTAAAACATGGTAAAGAATACATATTGTCATACTAAAGCAAATATTTATATTTTCTGTACATACTAAGTGACTGAGACTTTTCTAAGTCCTTTTTCGTGCTCAATTCGCCCAGTTTCAAGAGGGACTTATAGATACGCTTTACATAAGAAAGAATACTGAGACCTATGTCCCTTATCAGTTAGAATAGCTTAAGGAAAATGAATTTCTTCTCATTCTTGGGCTGCCGGGATTTTCATATTTTTTAGATATTAGATAATGTCAAGTTGTTGTTGGATGTTAATTTTATCCCGTAATCTATTGATGGCACTGAGGACAGTGCCTGGCATGCAGAAGGCACTCAATAAATGTTTTTGTTGTTATTCGTGTTGTTTTTGTCGTGTTATGAGTGTGCAGGGTTCTCCTTTCCTTCCCTTCACCTAAATTCGATGATTAAATTGCATTTTAAAACAATGTCCAAAATACCCTTTAAAATTTTTCAGAATATATTTATTAATTAAGAAATAAGTCAGTGATATCCTAGAGATTATTGAGTCTATATCACTTTGTACATTTGTAACATTCTAATTTTTGAGATGACCTCTTTAAGGGAAAGCTAACTATATGGGAAGTATCTTACCAGATGATTTCATTGGAAGAAACCTTTCTGATCATATGTGAAAATCTTCAAAATTAATTCAGTAAGTATTTACCAGATTGCACTAACCACAGACTCTACATTGTAATATGTGTTAATTTTGAGGATGATTTGAAGAGTATTGAGTCCAAAACAAAGGATTCTAAAAAGTTTTGCTGGCTGCCACGTTGGATTATTTTAATTTTTGTTAAGTGCAAAAGTCTATTCTAGAGGAAAGTTTTTAGTGTAAAACTTCGCTTTCTAAGTTTCCACATATATTTTATCATTTACAAAAGGCAGCTTCAACAAGTCAAGCTCTTTCAATGTGTGCTTATTGAAAGTTAAAAAGTAAAAAGGTTTTTTAAAAAAATTATTTATTTACTTTTAGAGAGCAAGGAAGGAAGGGAGAAAGGGAATAAAAAGTTTTAAAAAACAAGCACTTGGGACCAAAAGAGGTCTTTCAAGATATTTTCTTTGAGTTTCTTTCCTCTGAAAAATTCATAAATTCTTTCTCATATTCAAACACTAGCAATAATTTGCTTTTAAATTATCATTTTTCAAATAATTGGTTTTGGTTACAAGACTATTATCTGAGACTTCTGTTTTAAGATACTCTTCTACAAAAATCGGCCTTCAGTCACCAGAGAAATAACTTTGATATTTCTGTCCTGAACAACATTGTTTTAGAATGAGATAAGAAAGTCTGACCTATAATATTTTGTCTACATGTGGTGGCAACCTCATAATTTTAGATTGTGGATTGAAATTTGCATCTCTATGTGGCTCCAAGTTTCACCCAATTGCGAGCCCGTTGACGGTGTCAGTCCTGAACTCCAGTGGGTCAGTTTGAGTCCGGTTCCCAGGAGGAAGGCGGAAGCCCAAACAGTAGCAACACCTGGGGGCGGGATTAACTTCTAAAGCTCCACAACGGTTTCCAACCAACAGAAAGGAAAGAGGGGCGGAACCCTATGCTTCCGTCGTTAGGGACGCTTTAGCCCAGCGACTGCAATGGATCTGGAAGACGGGCTGACAGCCCTGGACAAGATAGTCACTCAGTTCAACACCTATGAAGATTATCTCGACTCGCAGGTAACTGACGAGGACTTGTACTACCTAGAGGTAAGGTTGGCATCACCGTTCCAGTCCTTGGGTCCCTCCGCGTCGTGGGGTGTTTGCCCCCTGGCGGCGAAGGTGGGGCCTTGCACTTTCCAGGTGGTGGGAGTGAATCGCTGCATCCTTCCCGTTCTGTGTTGCCTCAGGCAGGGGCAGGATTTGGACACCTACTATCACCCAGGGCAGAAACCTGTGCTTGCGCAGGCAAGCCCGCACGCTGGACAGCCTTGAGTTTCCCTAGCTCAGCCTCAGCAGTCACCTCCCCACCTGCTCCCTTGCCCAAGCCACTCTCCTACAACCGGTGGCTGAATTCGGAGGCCTGCTGAAACTGCTGTAAGTCAGGTGTGACACCCTGTTTCTCCTTCTTTGCCAGTTAGTATTAAAGAACAGAAGGCAATTTTTTTTTTCTGACGCAAGGGACATCAATAACAGTACATCTGGTGAAATACTGGGCATTTGGGTCCGTAAATTTCTACCTTATGCTAGTTGATTCAGAAAGCCCTTCAAGTAAGGGTACACAGGTCGTTGTGCCTGCCTATTACTGATTCTTGATTATCGAGTTGATGATCACAGACAATGCTGACGGTAAGAAAGCAAAACAAAACAAACACTATCCCCAGCCCCGCCCCCAGTTTGCAATACAGCAAAATCTGAAGCAAGGGGATTGACTGTCTTCTACCCAGCAACCATGCCCCTCCTGCTTCTTAAAGGTGTGTGTGTGTGTGTGTGTGTGTGTGAAGGGGGAATTGATGGGAGGCTGAGAGTGGGGGTTAAAGCTCTTGTCTTCTCCAGGAAAACCAGGATGGGCCAGAAAACTATAGGCTATGTGTCCTAAGAAGTGGGAGGTGAACCTTTTGGATCCCTGTAGCCCTCCTCTATTCCCAAACCAGGCCAACTAAATGGGCACTGACTTGGAGATTCTGCTGTGTTGGGGCAAAGCCCCAGAAGCCCAAATTACCCCATTTCTCTTAGGCCAGAGAGAGCAGCACTACCATGTGGTACTAAACCACACCCGAACCTGAGAAGGATTTGTAGCCTGCCACCAACTCCAAACTCCTTATCTACAACATGATTTTGCATTGTAATGGGTTGAAATTTTTGGACTCCAAAGATCATGTGAAGCAGAATTTCAGTTGAATGTAGATTCTAAAAGTTGAACAGTGTTTAGTCTCCAAAACATATTCATGTGCTGTATGTGCCCTTAATTTTAATGAAATGTAAACATCTAATTTTAGTTTTATCTTTGACACAAATCAATTGTGTGACCTTGTACAAATAGTTTAATTTTTTTGGAATTATCTGTTAAAAAAATAAACCCAGTTAGTATTTTCACCATAGCTTCTGACTTCAAAAACAAACATTTTTACATATTTTATACAGATAATATGTTTAAAGTCATAAAAGTAAGTTTTTTTTACCTTGCATCTAAGTCACTGAAATGAAAGGAAAGAAGTAATGGTGCTAAACAATGTTTGCATCTAAATTTTTGAATGCGCAAAAAGAATGAAATACAGACAATAAACATCCCAATAGAATAAAATTATCTTTATAGCACATGTGGAAACTTGCCCGGCTTGAGGCTTAAGCCTAGTATCTTTAAGAAAGTTTTTGTTTTTTATTTTTTTATTTCAGTGTTTTTCATTTGAGAAGAGAATTAATTATTCTGATTAACAATTAATTAAAAGTCCTGATTAATGAAACACAAATTATTAGTAAGTAATCAGTCAGAACTTTAAGGTTTCCAAAATGGAGAATGGTGACTATATTTGAGGGAATGATACACTTTAAAGTTGGCATTGATTTAGTTTATCTTACTGTACTTTCATTAAAAAAGTAAGATGACTTAGTTGAATAATGATATTATGGCAAGTATATATATTTTTGGATTGAGTAATGAAAATTAAGGGCCATTAGATACGGGTACCTCTATTCTGAAACACTTTCTGTGAATGCAGGTTAATTGCCTGTGTAGGTTGCACAGAGACAAGCAGATTCCAAAATTGTCTCAGTAACATGACTAGTCTGGCAGGCCTGTGTCCGGGGCAATGGATCATGCTTCATGAGGTGATTATTGCTCTTTTGTTTGGGATGGGGTATTAGCAATTGACTTTGGTTTGAATGGAGCAAATTTTAAATGGTTAATGAGAGACAGCATATTGTAGTTAGAAGACCCTAGGGTCATGAGATTTAGGTTCCAAATCTGTATTATTGTATTTTGAACCAGTTTGAAACTCCATTAATTCATCTGCAAAATGAAGTGGTTGGACTAGGTTACGTTGAAGGGTTTTTATAAGTTGTAAACTTTTATGAATCATCTGTCCAACCATCTGTCCATCCATGCATCCATATAGTCATCTATGTGTTTAATTAATAAGCCTTTACCAAGTGGCTATAATAGTAAATATTGCCCTTATTGCTAGGAATTTAAGTAAAAATCAGTTCTAGATTCGATTTTAGTCACCTAACTTTAGTATGTGTTTACAGTCCAACCTAAGTTTTATTTATTCAGTAGACATCTCACAAATATTTACTGTCTTCCAGGTGCTCTATTGTTTTATATATTTCTCTAATGCCAAAAGTTTTCAACTAATTTCAATAGAAATTAGCACCAGTAATTCACATACAAAATGACTACATTACTTTTGCTTAATTTATTCTCTACCCTTCTCCATCCTTACCTGTGCTCCTGGTAGCTATGCTGTGAGGTCATTAACCAGACTCTTTTTTGGCTTTGGGTTTGTTTCAGCCAATAGGAGATCAGAGGACTGGAATTGGGCAGAGGATTTATTAACTGTCATCTTTCTCCTTGTTGTGGTTTGGACATGGCTGCATTTGTTAGGTTTGGCCAGCTTCTCATTCCATCAGATGGAATCACTCTCTGTTCTAGGAACTGTATCCTCTCCCATCTCCTTTCCGGCCTGATGGTGTCAATGGTTTCCCACTGTTGCTAATCCTAGGACGCTTCACCATCCAACAACGGTTTCCATGAATCCTACCCATATCTTTGTAAATTATGCTTTATTACTTTAACAATCTGTTTTGAGCTTGCCTGCCACAGCCTTGACCTCTATATTATCATTTAACATCTCAGGCCACTGTAAGTACACAATTAGTATATGAATATAATAACTACAGTGCCTTTTAATATGATAACTGATTAGGAAGAAAGGGAAATTGGAGGAAGGAAAAAAACCCAAAACAAAGACTGATACCAATTAACTATCTGATGCATTAAGAGGGGGTTAAGATGGTTAAGGAGGTTGAAAGAGGCTCTTTGTTCTACGTCTATCTACCTTGCAAGAATTTTACTAAATAACTGTAAACTACCAAAAGAAATTTATAACAGTATCAACAACTAGATTTATCTCTGTCTACCCAAATAACACTATTTGTTTTGGGAGTTAGTATCATTTTACCTAATTAAACCAATCCCCTAAATCAACATACAGAAATACTTTAAAAGTTTTCACAATATTTTTGCCCTGTGTTTTCCCAGATTTTTTCTTGGCGATTCTTCCCTGTGAAATAAGCAGAGGACCTTCATTACATTGTCTGTGACTGCTGGAGAAGTTAAACTCCTACCGAACTGCTTTTCACTGCTTTGAAATCAAAGGGTGATTTTAGAATTATTTTAAAATCTTCCCAATAAATGAACCCCAATCATGGCTAAATTATTTAGAGAGATTAGCAATGTGGAATTTTTATTTAGAGATTATATTCCCATTACTTAGAAAAGAAAAATTAGTAAATCATATAAATATATAAATTCAACTTTTTGGATATAATCTTAAAGGTATTTGGTAGGCATTGATTAAGTGTGATTCTAGGAAAACTCCAGTAACATAATTTACCATGATTATACAACAGGCCAACTAACAACCGACCATTGTAGTTGTCTTTCCATTATTTATTTCATCAAGGTACAGAATAAATACTGCTTTCTTATGAACCAGGACCTTAATTCATATACTTCAGAATTAGCTATACTGTTTTGTTTATTCAATAGGAAAATTTGGCATAAATTAACTGCTCTCTGCTTAAGAGGCATCATATATTTTTCTTTCAATAAGTTTGTAGAGGGACTTCTCCCTTAGTAAAAATAGGTAATTTCCTCATGGACATGAATTCTGATGATTGGGGAGTGAAACTGAACCAAGAATGCTGTATTCATGATACTTCTGAAACTTTATCATAATGATTAAAATAAAATTCTATGAGCCTAATATCCTCGGGCGTCTCACGTAATCCCCTAAAATCTATATTCTATGCATATAAAGTATGTTGCATTCAATTTTTATTTATATGAATTTCAAAAGCTACTGCTGGGAGGAGATAAGAAAGGAGGTAGGGCAAATCCCCAGGGGTGTGTGCAGAGTGAGACAGGATGTGGGCTGAAGACAAAATTCGGGAGAACAGCCATTGTTTTAGGCATGCGCATGGGGGTGGTGCTGACAGAGGAGAATGAGAAGGGAGGTCAGGAAGGTAGGAGAAAATAAGAACAATAGGATGTTCAGAAGCCAAGAGCAGCTGGAGAGCAAAACCAAAAACCATGGAAAATATTTACACAAAACTAGGTGAGAGTTGTTCCTACAAACCCCAACACAGGAGCAGATGGGGAGCTCTGACCAAGCATCATCCCACAGGGTGAAAGGTCACTGGTTTGAGGCCCAGTCAGGGAACACGTCTGGGTTCATTCCCTGGTCAGGACACGTGCGAATGTTAACCAATTGATGTTTCTCTCCTCCTTTCTTTCTCCCTCCATTCTCCTATCTCTAAAAATAAGTTGATAAAATCTTTAAAAAAATAAAAGCAGATAGGGAGAAACCATCATAGCCATGACACCTAGAAGGTATCATCACCCATATTCGAGAAAAGCAGAGAAAACTGTGAGGCATCTAAAAGACCCCTAAAGAAGAAACTGCAAAATAGTCCACAGGTATTTACTGGAAGTGGAGTAGTCTGATTTGAGGACAACAGCTGAAATTGGGAAGGGTTTTGTGACAGCA